TTGCATTGAATTGGAACAATTTCCTTTCTTCTTCATTCTATTCCTTCATAGCACTAGTTGGAGTAGAATGTCCACTCAATATGATGCCCCAAGTTCCCAAATCATTTTCTTGGATGAAAAACATCATCATATTCTTCCAATAGGCATAGTTGGCTCCATTGAAGTAAGGAGGCATGTTGATAGGTTGATAATCATTGAAGACGTCGAAGCTTGATGTAGTGGCCATGAATGACTTGTTTGATGACTTGGCTCTTATAGGATCTTCTTAAGAGGTAGTAAAACCTTCCAATGAGTCTGACTCTGATACCAATTGTAGAGTCAATCCAACCAATGAATTAGCCAAGATGGGGTAAATTGGCTTTTAAAAACTTTACGGTGTAAGCTATCAAAAATTAAACTTTTGCATAAGGAATTTAGAGTGGTTTGACTTTCTAAACCAAAGTTTACATCCACTACCTTAGCATCCACACTAAAGATTTCTCAAATCCACTAGATTTGCGTACCTTTAAGGACAAGGTGTAACCTTACAAACATTTCAATGCTTATACCCCAAAACCTTGAATACACACTCTCCCAAAGAGTAATTACAAATTTAGCAAACAAAAGAAAAATATCACAAAGTTAAATATGTTTGCACAAATTAAACACTCACAAAAAAAGCACACTTGAGCAAATTTAACAATGTAGCTCATAAGTATATTACAAAGAATTTGACAATTTTTGCTGTAAAACTCTATTGATGTTGGTTTGATCTTGCAATTGACTTTCTTATTGTTCTCCATTTTGAATCTATGTCCCTTTTATGTCTTCTAACATCAATCTAGCCATTGGGGATTGATTTGAGTAGTTGGAATAATTAATTTTGAACATTTAATGCTCATCTACATATTTGGTGTCGATACCGGATGTTGGTATTGAGACTGAGCATCCTAACGGTGAAATTTATAGCCGTTGAACCCATGGTATCAATATTGTTTGAATGAGTATCAATACTCAAACACCGGTCTCGATAGTAGAGCTATGGTCTCGAGACTAAAAAGTGTTATGGGACTTTGGTATCGAGACTAGAACACTAGTCTCGAGACTGGGAGAGATTTTAGCTAAAATACAAGTGTTTAGAGCTTTAAAACAAAACTTACAATTTGTGAAAATACTGAAGAACACTTGTGATTATTTTTCACACTTAAAAATATTTTAAAATCATTTATGACAAATTCTTTATAAAATTGTGAAATGTAAATTTTAACAACTTAAACCATTTAAAAATTTATGTTATATCAAAATCAAAAGTTATTTCAACAGTTACACTATCTAGGTTTAAAAAAATACATTTAACTTATAATTAATATATTTAGTATATCAAACTTATATTTTAAATAATTTTCATAAGTATCATATTTATTTATATAAAATATAATATAATATAAAAATTATTGTGATCTCGAATGAAAAATATATTACTTTTTAATGTATAAAATTTATTTTTTAATAACTCAAAATTAAATATTATTTTAAATAATTATATTTTTTACAATAATAACGTTTTCACCTCATAAAATTATAAAATAATTAATATACTAAATATTAAAAATATAAAATGATTTTAACTAATTAAATTTATTAATATTTTACTAAATTAAACTTTTTGTATATTATTATCATTATTATTAAGTTTATAATTTTGAGTAAAGCACGAAAAAAATTGAGAAGGATTCATATGGAAAAATAATATTTTCAGGGGTATTAATGTTTAAAGTGGTGGAATTGTTCATTAGCTAAGAATTTGGAAGTAATAACACTTTCACCGTTTTAACAAAAAATTGTTACTATTAGTAATAAGTTATTACCTAGTAAAGATTTTTTTCGTGAACCAAATATAAAAATACAATTCCGGAAAAAATCATTTCCATCGATAATAATCTTTTACTTGAACCAAACATTGAAACCATGTCTAGGTTTTTAAACCCAATCCACTACTTTGAACCAAATGTTTTTTTAAATTTGATAATTATATGTAAATATTACTCCAAGTTCCCCAATAATTGTATTATCATCAAACTGACACCTTTTCACTAAGATGGCAATCTTAGTTAATAAAAGATGAATTTTACATTACTCGAGTTATGACATCACTTATTCAACCGGACTTTTGGGTCGGATAAAAGATATTACAATCTACGTCAATTCAATTCATATGTGAATACAAAAATACGATCATCCTAAAATCCGGTTGAATACAAAAACCTTTAAAAAATAAGCACACGAACCGAAATGCGACACTTACGTCTAAATTTGAATTTGAGTAACATAGAAATAAACATAGCATCTTGATTGACAAAACCATGAGATATGGGTCAACGTTTAATGCAAGTGAACATCGATAACTAATTTTGCATATAAATTCATGTTAAGTGATGTGGTTAAGTGGTACGTACAACAACAACAAAACCCTATTCCCATATATAATGGGGTAAAATGGGAATAAGTGGAGATAGGGTAGTAGGTTGTCCCTAACGCCAGGTTGAGAGCAGCTTCTGTGGAAGACCTCCGGCAGTTAGAAAATTAAAAATAAAGATAAAATGCAATGCATGTATAAATAAATAAATACATAGTTGAACAGTCTTCATATGCGCGTCTGTAATGGGAAGTAATCCCTCCAAATAAATCTCTGCGTAAAAATCTCTGCATAGATAGAAACGTAAGACCCAACAAAATTTAAAAGGAGGAAACATGAAGAGAATGATACACAACAGTCAACGAATAGCAAGCTATGAGAAGGAATAAAGTCAAATGGGATAAAACCTAAATTAAGGCAACAATACTCCGCTACCCTAGTTCTAAGCCTTCATAAATTCCAATGATAGAAACGTATAAAAAATAGAAGTCATGGAAATTACTACAAAGGCATTAAAAGAAGACAGAGATGATACACCCTATGGATGTGACCCGCACTACTCGGCTACCCTGGTCTTAAGTCTCCATACTTTCCTATCAGAGGTCATGTCCTCGGTAAGGGCTAAATCCTTCAAATCATATCTCAAGTAGTCTTCCCACTTCCGCCTTGGTCGTCTTCTCTTTCTGGCACCGTCGACTGTAATCGACTCTATCCTTCTGACCGCATCAGAAGGTTGTCGCATAAGGACATGCCCAAACCACCGTAGTCTTCCCCCCTCAATTTTTCGGATACAGGCACCACCCCCAAGGACATCTTAATAGCAGAGTTTGGTGTCATGTCCCACAGAGTCCTACCACATGCCCATCGAAGCATTCTCATTTCTGAGGCCTCCATCCTCCTTACGCGATCTTTCTTGATTGCCCAACATTTTGATCCATACAGCAGCGCTGGTCTTATTGCCATTCTATAAATCTTATTGCCATTCTATAAAATTTCCCTTAACTTTTAGAGGCACCTTCTTGTCACACAAAACTCCAGTAGCAGTCCTCCACTTTAGCCATCCCGCCTTTATACAGTGTGTACGTTACTGATAAACTTTTGGCCTCAAACCATGCAGTATCAACACCATGAGGAGGATGAATGACTTTTATTCCATTTGCTAGGGAAGGAAAAAAAGATTCTCAGATAGCTCCTTTTCAAAATCTCATATATATCATGCTCCTACTTTTCTGGTCTAATTTCGAATTTCATCCTCCTATTTGAAAAACAAATTAAGATGTTAATTATCAATTTTAATTTATCATATCTTGGTCACGTACCCATATATTCTGGAAATTATAAAATAAATATTATTTCGTTCTTTATACTTTTAAATAATAACCATCACTAAAAAGTCATCCTCTTAAAAATCATTCTCTTAAAAATCATTTATTATAAAATGTTATAAAATAAAATAAAAACAAAACAAAACAACATGAAAAATAAGAAGACATTTGAAAATAATGAGGGAAATTTTATAGTATCTTCTTAAAATAAATTATGTACAACATTTTCTCTTAATTATATATTTATAGACATAAAGAGTGGATATTATTATATAAAATTTGAATTTTAATAGATATTAAAATCATGATAATAAAACATATCGAAGTTCTATTTAATATATAGTGTTCTAATTATAATAAACATAAATATAAATAAATATTAAATATATTTTTATAAATATTATTGGAAGAAAAATATAATTTTTATGGGTAAATTGATAATACGAATATGAAGATATGGAAATAGAATAGTTATAAACAAATAGGGTTACATGACAAGTGAACTCATTCGAAGAGTCCAACTGGCGAATTCCTTAAATTCTAAATGGAGCGTAATTCAAAGCATTTAACGATGTTTGAAAAGAATGAAAATAAAGTGGTGGACCGACCCAACATAAAATAGCAAACGTAGCACTGGCACACCGTACATAAGCCAAAATTTGTCATAGATAAGTCAAAATTCAGTCACAACATAAATGATGTAATTAATAAAAGCACAAATTCTAAAAACCAAACCAATATTGATATTTTTTTTTCAAAATAAAAATATAATCGGTATTTGTATTAGAGAAGAAGAGGCTGTTCTTTGCTTGTTGATACATTCCGTTCTCTATCTTCAAGCAAATCAAAATTAAATTCAATTCCAAAATCTTATTTTTTTTGGTTCATATCTTTCTTTTCTTCGTCTGTATATCTTCTGCTTCACTTTCTTTCTTGCACTGAAACTCTCTCGTTTTTCTTTTTTTCTTCGTAATTTTCCCCCGGAAGAACGCATTGGATTGGGACGGTTATTGTTATAAAAAAAGGTTACGTTTTTTGAGGCAATAGCGAGGAATTATTGCGGGAACTAAGGTTTGGATTCTGTTTTTTTTTTAATCCGTTCTTCATTCATCTATAATGTCTCCAAAGTTTATTGTTTCCAACCCTGACAGTTGTATACTGACAATTAAATTTTAATCCAGTGTTTTTAATTTTACTCAAATTTGTAGTTATTTGGGGTTAATATCTCTCATCGAACTAGTTCATTGATGCTAACTATTATTATTTTAATTTATAGGTATATGTGGGGATCATTGGAAACTAGAAAATCAGTTATCTGCAGATCATCCTCTAGTCCTAATATAATCTCCTCGTTGTCATTGCCAAGGCTTCCCACTAGTGTTAACATTCTGTTTTATTTGATCAAATTAATAATTTAGTGGGTTAGGATTTGAAGAAGGTTGAAGAACTTTCTTCTTTCGATCTCTGTTGATCTTGTTTAGCTTACCTTATGGAAAAAGTAAACGAACATTAGTTCCAGAATGGCTGAGGAGTAATGGCAGTGTTACTGGGGGTGGCAAGTCATCTCACCACGGTTCTTCCCCTTCTTCTATCTCAGGTACCTTTCGGCAGGCCAACTTTTAAATACTCTTCCATTATCATTCCATTTACATCTGTCCAACTGCACCTTTATTTTCCATTGTGCTTCTCATTGCATTTGTACTGTTTTTTCAGTTTTCATTGTAAGAGTGCTTAATAATTGTATACTTGGTGGTATGATAGATGTTTCTTCTTTGGTGCATCATGCAAGACATAGGAACTCTAGTAAAGTAAGTGATTTTGATTCCCTTCGCGCGACATTTTTGGATCGGACACATTCGTTGAATTCAGGGAGGAGTTCTAGTAATGTTTCTGGAAAGCATGCTTATAGTAGCTTTAGTAGGAATCACCGTCATAAGGATCGAGAAAGGGATAAAGAGAGAATGAGCTTTGGGGAAAGTATGTTAACTAGTAGGGTCGAGAAAGATATATTGCGGCATTATCCTTCTATGGTTTATAGGAAACAGGGTGAGCCTTTGCCTCGAAGGATTGCTGTGAACTCTGTAGATAATGGTAACAGTAACCATAACATTACCAATGGTTTTCATTCTGGGGGTAATATTGGGAGTAGCATCCACAAGGCTGTGTTTGAGAAAGATTTTCCATCACTTGGAACTGAAGAGAGGCAAGGGGTGCCTGAGATTGCTAGGGTTTCTTCTCCTGTTTCGGCTCAGCTTCTCAAACTGTGTCTGTTGGTAGTTCAACTTTGATTGATGGAGAAGGATGGACCTCGGCTTTGGCAGATGCGCCGAGTGTGGTTGGAAGTAGTAGCACAGGTTCCTCGCCTGCCCCTCAAACTGTTTCTACCACAAGTTCTGGGGCTCCAAGTGTCACATTTGGTCTTAATATGGCTGAAGCACTAGCACAAGCGCCTTCACGAACCCCGACTGCTCCCTTGGTAAGTGATTTAGTCATTAAGTTCTTGTTACACGTATGACTTATATCTGTGATCTAACTAGGCATTTCTGTTTTATCTAGGTATCTGCCACGACTCAAAGGCGTGAGGAACTGACTATTAAGCAATCAAGGCATCTAATACCAGTGACACCTTCGATGCCTAAGGTTTCTGTAAGCCAGCCGCCTTAATTTCAGCAAAACATTCTCTTAAATCTTATCTGCATCACATTTGTAGTTTTAGTCCTGTTGAACAATTTTGCCCCTTCTTATTTACCTTCTTGTACATCATGTATAGATATTGAATGCGGTATATGTTATTACAGCTAATGGTTAGCCTAATTCTCTTTGTCTCAGGTTTTATATTCAACTGATAAATCAAAAGTCAAACCTCCAACCAGAATAAGTGAGATGAACATTGCTGTCAAGAGTGGATCACAAACGTCACCTTTGGTTTATCAAGGTAATCATAACTTTCCTCATAATGGACATGTTAAGTCTGACCCAAAGACATCTGGGAAGCTTTTGGTTCTCAAACCTCGAAGGGATAATGCGGTCTCATCCCCTACCCAAAATGATATTTCTAGTTCAACAAAAATCGCGAACAACAGAGTTATAACTAGCCAACTTGCTTTTGCTCCTGTTAATTCTGCTTCTGCAAGAAACTCAAATGTCCCGAAGCTTTCCGCTGGGGAATGTAAGGCAGCTGCCATTAGTCCAATAGCTGGGTTCACTGTGGAAAAGAGACATTCTTTGGCTCAAACCCAGAGTCGAAATGATTTTTTTAATCTACTGAAGAAGAAGAAGACTTCAACAAACATTTCTGGTGGTCTCTCCGATTCAGATTCTCAAATTTCATCATCCGTTATGGAGAAATCTGAAGTTCATAAGGAAGTAATTGGTGCTTCTGTGACTGCTCATGCTGATGATGGTACTGCAACAACTAGTAACGGTGACACTTGTTCTGGTTACAAGAAAAAGGATATGAGCGCCATTGATATGCCTTATCCCGATGAGGAAGAGGCTGCATTCCTTCGTTCTCTTGGGTGGGAAGAAGGCACTGGTGAGGATGAGGGCCTTACGGAAGATGAGATCAATGCTTTTTATCAGAAGGTAAGAGATACTTTCCTTTGTCTTTTTAGTCATGACGCTGTGAAGGTTTATTGCATTTTGTTATGCAATCTGATCCCATGGCTGCTTGGCTTAGCATCTTCCTCATTGTTTACGTGCTATTTGCTTACTTTGGTTATTGTTTTGATCTTACAGTATATGAAAATAAGGCCATCTCTGAAAATATTCCGTGACATGCAACCAATGGTATCGCAGTCTGTTGCAAATAATTTGGATGGAGTTTCTTCTGAATCAAGCTCGTCCGACTCCGGCTCTGAAGCTTGAGTTTTCTTTCTTTCGTACATGATCAATCCATGAGTTCCATTCTTTTATTTATAGATTACTTTTTTCTTTTTCTCACTTTATCCCCTTTTTTATGTTTTTTTTGTTAGGAAAAAAAGCTGCAGGGTTAGGTATTTTAGCGATTTTAGGGTCTAGTTTGACAGTGCATTTAGCAAATGTTGAAATAAGGGGAGTCCTACGTTGTTGACAGAATTCTGAAGGCTTCCACAGTGGGTTTTAGGATAAGGATGGGTTATTTTTTGTGTGCACTGGAAGCGATGATGCATTTTCAAGAGGGTTCATAGAAATAGCTTATTTGTATTTCGAGTTGTTTTTTTATGGAAAGAAAAATGGAAATAAAAGAGTTCCAATTAGTTTACCTCATTTTATAATATTTTTATTTCATGCAAATGTAATATATATATCTTAAAAAATAATATTTGAAACAATTTTTTTCTTCTGTTTTTATTGTATAATTATATTTTAAAATAAAACATATTAATTAATTAAATTATTATATTTTATTATAATTTTTAAAATTTATATTTTGATATAAGTATATTTCATGTATAAATTAAGATATATTTGTATCATATATTAGGGCTGAGTATCTGATCAAGTTGAATTAAGTAGAGTAAAAATCGTGTTGACGAGTCTTACTTTTAGATTTAAAGTCTATTTAATTTTTTTAATTCGCATTGAGTTTATGAATTCAAGCTGAATTTTTAAAATTCTATTTAAATTTAATGATAAATATTTATGATGTTATGATATGGATATCTAATTTAACAAATTTTCAATCTATTATATATATATATATATATTTCACATTGCAGTCTTATTTTTTTTTTTTGGTTAAATAAAGGTAAACCACAAGGCCTAAACTACAAGAAGTTCCTACTTTCCTCTCTAATTACCTCGACCACTACATTCAGTGTATTGTAAAAAATATGCAAATCATACGAGAGGGACCAAGCATATTTGACAATAGTATCTGCACTTCCTCTTGGAGTATACTGGACACAAATAGTCCAATTCTTGCTGATGAGGACATCGATCTGTTGATCGTCAAATGGTTGCTCTTGGGCGTTTTATCGTGAATCAGATCTATCGTTTCTTTGCTGTCAAATAACTTGTTTTTCTCCAATATTCCAGTCTAATTGGAGGCCCTCGTATATACCTCAAAGTTTAAATTCGATTATATCGCAAAAACCTAGCTTCCTCGCTAAACTGTGCATCTAGGTCCCAGATTTATTACGCATTACGCTGTCGCATGTGACTTCTCCCGTGTTAGTGTTACGAGCTCCATCAGAATTGACCTTGCACCAACCGTCATCTGATGTTTTCAATGATCCTCGTTCTGTTGGGTTCGATTTATCGTAAGGACAGGATGTCTTCTAGCATTAATGACATCCAGGGTAAATCTCACACCTCTTTCTACAATAGATTCTCTTTCAACCATCTTATGGTCGAACAGTCAGGTATTTCTTATGTTCCATAATGACCAGAGAATAGCACTGAAAAGGGTGGCCCAATCTGCAGCTTCATTAATTGTAGGTTCCATTTCTCTAAATTGTTGGTGACTTAGTTACGAAAATCTCTATTCAAGAAGCTGTCTATTTCATTCAAAAGCCTCCAAGTATTGATGGTTACTGGGCATGTTATTAGGACATGGTTAATGTCTTCCGTTGCAGCTCGGCATATTTCACAATGGGTTTCCGACATGTGTCTCCTAGCCCTCTCGGTGTTGGTAAAAAGACTCTCTTTAACAGCAAGCCAGAGGAAAGTTTTGATCTTCGGATAGTCCACACTCTTTTAATAGGTTTTTCTTCAGTTTCAGCGAATATGTTGTAAGTTAAGCTGACTGAGAACCTACGGTTCTTAGTTGGCTTCCATTCCGGATAATCGTTCAAAGTATTACTGATAGGAGGGGGAATAACTCAAGGGTATTTATGATGTTCACTAGGAGTAATTGATCGAGAATATTCCACTTCCAACTACCGTCATCATTGACTAGATCCCTTGACAACACAAGCATTTTCCATGATTTGATTTGGTTGAAGGAAAACTTCTTCAAGGGGTCTGAGGTCGTTTAACTAGGGCTCCTTCCAGAATTTGATAGGCGTACCATTTTCAGGTATCCAGATAGTGTTTGCTCTAAAGGTGTGCCAAATCAATTTAAGGCTCTTCTAGAGATGAGAGCATTTTCGGTTAGGTAAAACCTCTTAAATCCCTTCTTCCATTTTATATTTGTTGCGCGTGACTCTAACCCAGAGGAGACCAGACCTGGAAACCAGCTGAAAAGCAACTTTCGTGAGGAACGCCTTATTTTGGTTCTCAAGTTGTTTGATACCTAACCCTCCTTGTTTGACTGGCTAACACACAGATCTCCAGTTCACCAAACTAACACCACCCCTATTCGACGTTCTACCCCAAATGAAGTCACATATCAGTTTTTCAATTTCTTCACAGACGCATTTGGGAAGAAGGTAGTCTGCATTGCATAGTACAGGATGACAAACACACTGATTTGGCTAATACGATTCTTCCAGCTAAGGATAAGGATCTCGCTTTCCGACTGACTAGACGGTCTCGTACTCGTTGGACAATATGTTGATAGGTAGCCTTTGTAACTCTTTTGTGAAGGAGGGGGTCTCCAAGGTATTTGCTCAATTCCTTAACTTCTTGGACTCAAATTAGAGCAGAAAGTCTCGCGAGAGTGAATAAGGATGTTCTTTGAGAAATATATACTTATTTTGGTATTGCTGACCTTTAGACCGAAACTAATGCAAAATTCATGAAATACCTTTTCCATCACCTCAATTTGCTTGTTGTCGGTTTCTGCAAAAAGAATTAAATCGTCGGCAAAAAATAAACAAGAAATACCTGGGTACCGGAAGATAATTTTATGGGTTTCCACTATCCTTGGTTGACTTGAGTCGATATTGATGGGGAAAGGCTTTCCATACAAAGGAAAAAGATGTAGGGAGACACGTGATCTCTTCCTTGTCGAGTGTGTATCTCTTGGGCAAGAATTATGTTGTACGAAATAAATTGGTCGGGACATAGCTGGCTTGGTTATTGGCCACCAGATCGAGAAGCTACGATTTAATACGATTAGCAATAACCTTCGTGGTTATTTTATACAAAGTAGAACATAAGCTTATCGATTTATATTGGTTTATCGTTTTCGGGTTATCCACCTTGGAGAGCAAAACCAACGAAGTTCTGTTCAAGCGATATCCATAGGGCCGTCATTCATAATGTCTCGCACAAGACGAAAAAACACTCGCGCAGAACAGATTCCAATTCTGTTGGAAGAAAATAGCAAGATACATGTCGATCCCAGAGGTTTCAATGGTCCCATGATAATTTAGCATCTTTGATTTTAGAATCATCCGCGGGAGCATTTAGCCTTTTCCACTGATCGGGGTTAAGTTTGGGAAATACACCTCTAGTATCATACCTTTGACGATTCTGGCCGGAGCTAGTAAACAAGTCCTTGTAATATGCGACAGCGTGATCTTTCAAGCGTTCCTGGTCTGAGCAAAAAAGCCATTATGCAGCTTGAGAGCGGTAATAGACTTTTTTTTGCTTAGCGATGGCACACATATGAAATATCTCGTATTTTATTGTTGTATGATATCCATCTATTTCTAGCTCTCTACGACCACAGGATCTCTTCTTGCCTGACGATAGTGTCCAACTTCACCCTCAATTCTTTTTCAAGGTTTTTGAGCTTATGCGAATAATAGTTTTGTAGGGCTTCATCTATTTCTCTAAGGCGAGCAAGGATTTTTTTTCTTTTGGTCGATGCTACCAAAAATGTTACCATTCCAAACAACTATTTCTTTCAATTTCCAAACTTCTTTAAGTAAAATCTGGGAGGGTTAACCAAGCAGCTTGGAACTGAAACTGCTCTTTTGAGGGTATGAACGTTATCTTTACACAAGAATAAAGAGCTATGGTCCAAATCAAGCCTATTCAAATGTAAAACCTTAGAACTCGGATAAAGAAGGTTCCACTTGTCATTAATAATGTAGCGATCAAGTCGTTACCATAGGTTGCCCCTACGCCACGTAAAGTATAGACCAAGATAATCTAATTCTAGCAGGCCATTATCAAATATGAATTTGTTGAAGTCTTTACTTACCCCTTTATAGTTACTGCTGCCGCCATGTTTATCTTCGACTCTAAGTATACAGCTAAAGTCACCACCGAGGATCCAATGATTATCAGAGCTGGGAGATAATTTTGAGAGGCAATCCCATAGGTTATTCTGGTTAGAAACATTAGCACTAGCATATACGGTTGTAAAGAAATGCCAATTGCCAACTGAGATCATCTTTGGTCCTAAACTTCACATGAATGTACTGATTAGAAATCTGAATAATTTGGACCCCACAAAAGCCAAATTCCTCCATTGAAGCCTTGAGCTTCAACACGAAAGGAGTTGTCAAAGCCCAGGGAATTGATAATATTATCCGCTTTATAATCGTTGGTTCTAGTTTCAAAAAGGACAATGATGCTCGGATTGAGAGCCTAAAACAAATCCTTGGGACGTCTTCTAGACTTTGGGTAGACAATCCCTTCTATATTCCAGAATAACATCATTAAATAAGCATTGGGTTATTGTGTGATTGGTAGGAGGGCATCTCATCCTGATAAATATTTTCCTCAGTATTCACAGAATAACTTCCTGTTGGGGGTTGGGAGAAAGAGTATACTACTGGAAATAATAATGAAATATAGCTGCACCGTTAAAGACCGGCAAAGAAGGCAACAATGGGCTTTTCAGTCCCACTTTCCTGTTCCATTTATAGAACAAAAGCAGATGTTGCAGAATAAGTGTTTGAACCTTGAAGCTTTTAAGGAGATGCTGCAGAATAGTGCAGATGCATGCCGACTAGGGTAGGGTAGGATTAGGGAAGGTAAAAAAGTAAATAATAATAATAATAATTATGCATTAACTATTCGGGTCGGATAGGATTATTTTAACCCTAAATTTGATTCTGATCCGACTCCTAAAATTTTAATATAA